GGGAGGCTGAGGCAGGAGGATCCTTGCGAGTTCGAGGCCAGCCTGGGCTACAAAATGAGCTCAAGGCCGGCCTGAACTGCATAGCGAGAACCTGTCTCAAAAATACAAAAAAAAAAAAAAAAACCTAAGTGGCAAAATGAAAAGCAGAAACAAGAGCCTTAAGGAAGAGGATGAGCCTGAACGCATAGCACTTTCAAGCTGATGAGAGTTTGGGGCGGCCATTCTGAGCCAAGGGCCACGTTTCGACAAAAGGAGGAGAAATAGGACTGAGTACAGGATTTACAAAGACCCAGCCCTTGTGCATCTGCCCAAGTGACGACAGCCGGTTCAAAAAGAATGGAAAATTCACTGACACCCGACAGACCCGAAACCTGACAGTCGCAGAAACGGGACCTGACGTGGGAGGAGGGATCAGACCAGAACCCCAAAGTCCAGCGTCAACGGTCATCCTATAAATACCAGCGGAGAAGATCTCCCCAGCACTTGGCTTAGTACTCCTCCGCGGAAGTCTTAAAATTCTTAATTTTTGAACACGGGTCCCCCGTTTTCATTTTGCACGGGGTGCTCTAAGTTATGCAGCCGATCCTGCTCCATGGTAACCTCCCTCCTTTCACCAGGTAGGAAACGGTTCTGGAAAACAGCCACCTCTTTCCCGAACCGGCCCCACACGTACGCACCAGTCAAACTTCCCTACTTGGTCTTCATAAACCGCGACCGCAGGGACAAGCAACACAACCCAGAACCAAAGCCCGGATCCCAGCACCGCCGCCATGACAGAAGACCCGAGACTCCCTGCTGCCGCCCCGGCATGCACCGGGCCGTAGGCTCCGCCTCCCGGAACCATAGAGTTGCGACGGAGCGCGAGGCCTTCGGTGGGCGTCGGGGGATTCAGAAGCGGCCGAGACTCCTGGGAAGTTTTCGTGCCGACACGCGAGAAAGCGCAGGCGGCTTCCTGGAGGAGACAGCCGGGTCACAGCTCAGACTGGGTCAGGCGCGCGCGAGGACAGCTCCCGAGAGCCGTCCCAGAGGCCCCCGCGCCCCGGAGGTCCTAACGAGCCACACCGCCTTCCGCCGCACGTGGTTTCAGCGCGATGCCCAAATCCAAGCGCGACAAGAAAGGTGGGCGAAGGGGGCGTCGGGGCCCGGTGGGAGTCTCTGTGGGCTGGCCGCCTGGCCTTCGGTAGAAGCTTCAGATAGACAGGGTCGCGGAGTGGAACGTGCGGGCTTCCGTAAAGAGCTCCGCGGCCCCTGCGAGTTGGGGTGGGACGTTCCGGAGCCGGGTCTGGCCGGTGGAACGAGGTTTTTGCGTGGCCTCTTGTGCTTTTGTCCGGTCTGTGGGGCGGAGAGATAGTTTCCAGCCGCCCAAACCGTGCCCGACCGACGTCGCTTTAGCACACGTTCTCCATCTCAGCCCCAGCCCACCTTCGCTCCCTTTGTATCCCTGCTTCCCTTTCCTTTCCTTTCCTTCAGCACCTTTGTTCCCGCGTCCGGCTGTTAAACCTGCATTCCCTCTTGGCATACTTGTTCTCCGGGGTGCTAGTTCCTCGGTTCTCGTTTGCAGGGCATCTCCTAGACTACCTTTGCTATGGTGCCGGGTGTCTCACCCTGCAATCTCTAGCACATTCAGCAAATATTTAGGGACCTGGCACTTGGGAGGCAGCGAAAGATACAGAAGTTAAAACAAGGAAAAGCATAGCTGCATCTAGCTTGATTGTAGTCGGGACGTACTACGTACCCCACCCGCCAGTTGAGTGAATTCATGACAGACAGTGATGAGTCTCAGAGTAAAAAATGAGGTAAAAAGAAAATAAGGTGATGTTATGTAAAAGTAGTCAGAAAAGGTCTCCCTGATGACGTGACGAAAGGAAGTGAGCAACCTGTGGAGTTACCTGGGAGAAGTTCGTTCAAAGTAGAGGGAACACGCGGTGCAAAGGGCCTGAGGTGGGCGTGGCTTACATGTTCTGGGACAAGGAGCCAGTACGGCTGGAGAATGATCAAAATAGTGGAAGGAGGGAGGGCAAGGCTTTCAGGCGTGTGTGAGGAATGGCCTTTCGCTCCCTGTGAAATGGGTAGACATGCTAGCCGTTGAGCCGAGGAGCAGTGTACTTTAACTTTATTTTTAACTGGTAATGTTTGAGAAGAGCCTAAGGAAGATAAGATGGGGGCAAAAATGGAAAGACAAGGCCGGCAGTAATTCAGGAATAAGTCATACTGGCTTTGACCAGAGTCGCAGCAGTGGAGCTAAGGAAAGAGGCCAACTGTTTGCCCTCGTTTGTTGCACCTGCCACTGGCCAGTGTGATTGCCTTCACTATGTGTGCCTTGTAAAGGAGGACTTTGGGGAGCCCGGCCACTCCCTGGGGGAACCTAATGCTTTATATTTGGTGCTCTGCTAAGAGCTTGTGGATTAATTTGATTCTAGCCAGATCTGGCAAATACCAAACTCTGGGGGCAAGTTGGGCCCCAGTAGAGTTACTTGTCCCACTGCAAAGGGGCAATGCTGCGTCCATGGGTCCAAACTGCAGTACTGAAAAGCACAGATACAATAGAAAAGAGATGGTACCCGGGTTCCATTGCACAGCATGGGCCAGCCATCAGCAGCTTCTGTGCACCTTGGCCAAGAGCAGGAAGAAAACTGTGTAGGCCAGCAGGTTAGGCCTCCCCTGAGAGCACTTTAACAGTAAGGGCCAGCTCTGCCTCCACACCGCAGTAGGTTTAGGGGTTAGCCTGAGGCGCTAAGGAAATTGGGTTTGTATAAGTGGCCCAGGGTATAGCCAGAGATCTCCTGACCCAGGAATACTGGAGAGTAAGCACATCATGGACCCTGAGAATGGCCCTGTGTGCCTGAAGTGTGACAGCCACAGCCTTGTTGCTTCCCCTCAGATGCCGTGGTCCAGCTGAGCCACCAAAGGGGCGGAGGAGACAAGTCTCCAGAGTGCCCAGATTCATCTCTCACATCTCTTTCTCCTTTCTATTAGTGTCCTTAACGAAAACCGCCAAGAAAGGCCTAGAACTGAAACAGAACCTGATAGAAGAAGTAAGTATGTGCTCCTTTTATTGGGAGAGTTGATATGTTTGGTTTGTAAAGGCAGGAATTGGACTTTGCTAGGGAAACAGACTGTTCAAGTTTCTCTTAAAAAGTAGAAGCTGCTAGTCCAGCCCTTCCTCCGACAAGCATGACACCACCAAACCAATAAAAACTAATGGAGGAAGGATCTCCAGGTGTGTGTGAAATCTTAGCGTGTGCCCTGCACTGAAAGTTTCATGTCATTTTGCACACCCGCCTCCTCGGATCTCTGTGACATAGATCATAGCTACTAAGTGATGTTATTGCTGTTTTGCAATTGGGGTGACTGAATCTTAGCAAGGTGCGTAGCCTTTCCAGTGTCAAAGGCTAAGGAGCCTTAACAGGCATGGGTGACTGCACCGACCCACCTGCATTGCTGCTGACCCAGCCACCCTGGGCTTCAGGCTAGCTGAGAGCAGAGTCACCTGCTGCACAGATTCCATCCCTTAAGGATGGAATTGTACATCGTGAGGGCTTCAGCCAGCAACAGCACCAGAGCAGTTCAGAGGAGCCAGCTCCCCTTATCAGCAAATAAGGGGGTGCCAGTGTTTCCATTTAGCAGGAACCTGTCCATCGAAAGCAGATGTTTCTAGGTCTACAGTGAGTGTAACAAGTAACAAGAAGTGATCAATCGCACTGTTTGTTGGGGATAAGTTAGACACCTGGGACAGACCCATGGCTCAGCTCCCCCTGTACTTAGTAGCTTTAGTGTCAGTAACGGCAGGGAAGAGACAACCAGATTAAAGGCGGAGTTGCCCACCCACAGTGCCCCTTAAACTACAGAGCCTCATGAATTGTCCCACAGCTTCGGAAATGTGTGGACGCGTACAAGCACCTCTTCATCTTCTCTGTGGCCAACATGAGGAACAGCAAACTGAAGGACATCCGGAATGCCTGGAAGCACAGCCGGTAAGCGGGCAGAGGGTGGTCCTGCTGAGTGAGGAGGGACCAGGTTGCTCTCAGCCAGAGCTAAGAACAGTGTCTGAGCCTTCGGGTTCCTGGGTCCCACCGATGGCACACTAACAAAGCGCCACCTCTACTGATGAGCACTTCTTAAACATTAAAATTGGCCTTGTGCTGAACTCCAGGGCTAGAGGAACAATGAGGAGGCAGCACTGGGTAATTCCTTCAGAGGATGTTTGAGAAGAAGTTGCCCTTGACCCTGGACTTTGAGCATCATGCAGTTTTAGAATGTCATTGTGGCCTCTGCCAGACTGTACCTAAGATCAAGCTGTGGGGACCATGTGGCAGGTGGCTCTGGAGTCAGTCTGCTGCTGCAGCAGTTCTGGGAGAGCCCCTGCCCGGTGCAGTCTGGGAGAGACTGTTACATGATGCAGACGGTGTGGCACTTACCCATGTCAGGTTCCGAGGGTGGAGAAATAATGGAAAGGACCCTGAGCTGGGACAGCTGGGCTGCATGTAGAAGTGGGAGCCTCTGGGCACACCGTCTACCACACTTGGGTCTGGCTCATTAGGCTCTGCAGTTGCTTGCAGTTGCCTGGGGTGGGAGAAGGGAAGCGCTTCTGTTCACATCCTCCTTTCTCTTGGTAGGATGTTCTTTGGCAAAAACAAGGTGATGATGGTGGCCTTGGGTCGAAGCCCAGCTGATGAGTACAAAGACAACCTGCACCAGGTACGTCACCGACCCTCACTGCAAGGGGCTGAGGCCAAGCTGTCTTTCCTCTTGCTCCCACATGGCCACCCTGTGGGTCGGGAGGGCCACGCCTGGCGTACAGCTCTGGGTTCCCCTTAATCTCCAGACCCGGGGAATTGTACCCTTATGTGTCACCCCCTCCACCCCTCTCCTTTCTCTGACAACTGAAGATGTCTTTAAACACTACCAGATGTCCCCTGGTGGGCAAAACCATCCCCAGGAGAAAAACAGTGCTCACTTTTGATTTACAGGTCAGTAAGAAGCTGAGGGGTGAAGTTGGCCTCCTTTTCACCAATCGCACGAAGGAAGAGGTCAATGAGTAAGTCTCCCTGAGGAATGGAGGGGAAGAGACAGTGCGAGGGTTCCAGGACCAGTGAAGGGACTGTCCAGTGTGACAGCATGAACTTGGAACTGGCTCCTGGAAGCCTCTTACTTAGAGCAGTGGGCCATGACCAGAGGTGTCTCTGTCCTCTTGGGCATGGTGCTCCACCTGGCCACCGACCTGGGGAGGCCTAGAGCCACTGGACACTTGGTGGGGGGCTCAGTTTCAGTTGGCTGATGGCTCAGGAACCTCCCGTATCACCACTTGCTTCCCTAAGGTGGTTCACAAAATACACGGAAATGGACTTTGCCCGAGCTGGTAACAGAGCAACTTTCACCGTGAGCCTGGATCCAGGGCCCCTGGAGCAGTTCCCCCACTCCATGGAGCCACAGCTGAGGCAGCTGGGGCTGCCCACTGCCCTCAGGAGAGGTACGAGCAGACCCCAGAGCTGAAAGGTGACGGGCTGGAGCCCAAGACCACAGGCTTCCAGGCCCAGCCTTCCTGGTTGAGCAAGTTGCCTCTACCAGGACCTTACGTACTCATCGGAGAATGGGGCTGAGCGCCCAGCTCATAGTTTAGGTGAAAGTGGAGAGCGTCACAGCCAGAAGACAGCACTAAAGGGCCACTAAGGAGGTGGCCATTGCCACTGTGGACAGTTGTGGGAAGGGCAGGCAGCTACCGTGTGCTTCCCAACTCGGGACAACGGCAGCAAGTACTGTGCAGGCCTCTGCCAAAAGTGACTTGGGGCCACCGTCCTGCAGGTGTGGTGACCCTGCTGTCTGACTACGAGGTGTGCAAGGAGGGTGACGTGCTGACCCCAGAGCAGGCCCGCGTCCTGGTGAGTCCAGCCCTGCAGGCCTCTGGTGGGAGGAACCGCTGCCTTTCTCTGGCCTGTACTACTTTTTTTTTTTTTTTTTGGTACCAGGAATCGAACTCACAACCTTGCGCTTACCAGGCAGGCGCTGTGTCGCTGAGCTACCTGGCCCCTGGCCTGCACTTTTGATAACATTCATTCTTGCTTTTGTGTCCCTCTGCCTCTTACAGAAGCTTTTTGGATATGAGATGGCCGAATTCAAGGTGACCATCAAATATATGTGGGATGCCCAGTCAGGAAGGTTCCAGCAGATGGGAGATGATGACTTGCCAGAGAGCGCACCCGAGTCTTCAGAAGAGTCAGAGTCAGAGGATGAGGACGACTGACTGTGGGACTCAGGACCAAAGACCTTCCAGCATGTTCTGTCTCCTCTGGACCACACAGGGCTGCAGCCGCCCTTCTGCAGGGAGCAGCTATTTATTTTGCTGTGGATGAGGACAAGGAAGGGTGATGGGGACTAACTGTATTTCCATAAAGAATAAACCTTCAACTGCAGGTGTCCCCCTGTAGACAGCAAGAGACTCAGAAAAAAGGCCTTTAAATTTTAAAAAAAAAAAAAAGAAAGAAAAAGAAAAAATGCCTTCAGGTTTGTGCTTCTATTTGGATTCCCACCATTCATCTAAGCCAGTGCAGCGCTGCAACTTTGGGGACAGCTGAGAACAACCCCCAGAGCCGGGTTTTCCCGCCCTCTCCAGCCTTGTTGCCCTTTACAGTATTTGCAGCAGGGCTTTGCTGAGGAAAACAGGCACCTCTGTGGCCCTTCACTGCCTCTGCATGCACACCTACACTCCGTCTCCCTCTCCCAGACCGTGGCTAAGACTGATGGGTACCGAGAGCCCAGGGCACTTCAGCTAATAGTAAAGCCTCCGCTGGAGATGGGAGTGGGTGTTGAAAGTGGCACACAGCATCCTGTTCTTAAGTCCAGCGGTGGACTTTCACCCAAATTGTTTTATTTGCAAGTGTTTATGAAAAGAAAATGTTCGTGGTGTGTGATACTGAAATACATATTTTTTTTATGCCCACTAATCCTGGCTTATAACTCCATTGTCTAATTTCTGCCTGTAGCGGACCATAAAGAAATTCTCTGAGAGCTGGTAGCAGAACTGAGTGGTAGAGCACTTAACCTAGCATGCCTGAGGCCCTGGGTTCCTCCCTAGTGTAGCAAAAAGAAAAACACAAATTCTCACCTACCTTGTTGGTGACTGAGATCCTTGTTCCAGACGGATCCTGCCCCGTGCCTGGAGGAAGGAAAGCTTCACAGAGACCAAGCCCTTTCCAGGGCCCCCACTCAGTCTGCAGTCACACTCATGGAATGAGGTCTCAAAGTAGAAAGTCAAGCGCAGGGTTCAGAGAGCCCCCAGGATGTGTGAACACATGGTTCCCAGAGGGCGGCACGCACGCCCCATACCTCACCCGTACAGCACCTCATCTGTGTCCTTTGTCATCCTTTATAATAAAAACAACCTCAGTGCAAGTGTTTTGAGTTCTGTGAGTTGCTTAAGCAAATTAACAACTGAAGAAGGGCTTGTGAGAAGCCCAGTTTGTACTGGGACAGTCAGAAACAGGTAAAACAAACTTAAAGTTGGCATCTGAAGTAGGCGGTGTTGGGGACTGAGGCTCCCACTGTGAGCGCCAGTGCTGTACACAGGTGTAAGAAATGAATTGGATCTGGGGACGCCAGCAAGTGCTCACTGCTGATGGTGCGGAGAGCAGAGGAAACCCTGGCAGTTTTGCTGATACAGTGCTCATCGCAGAGAAGACGGGCCTGCTCCATCCCCACGGTTAAGAGGTAAGGTTGGATTCAGGGCTTGGAGACGGTGTGGAGTGTGCTGCTATTGCCTCTGCCCTCTGGAGACTAGTCCAGACCCCTAGTTATCAGCACCCAGCCGTGAGAAAAACACCAGGAAGCAGGCCCAGGGCCACCTTATTCCACAGGAGCTGCTGGGACACTGCCTGTGCCAGCTCTCACAGGAAGCAGGCAAGTGGGAGTACTGTAAAAAAGCTGAGAAGTGGGATGAGCAGGGAGAGAACGGATTGAATCGGTTTAAACCTAAACCAGCCAGAGATGGGCTGGGGATATAGCTCAGCGGCACAAGCACTTGCCTGGCCAACGCGATGTCCCAAGTTCAATTCCTGGTACAAAAAAATAAAACCAGCCAGGGAGAGAACAAGAGGTGACAGAACAAGAAGGTGGCTCTGCCTGGTGAGCCACACCCAGGCCTAGCGGAAGTAGTTGGGACACTCATGGGCAATCAGGTGCCAGCCTTGATCAAAGGTTTCCACCACGGCCAGTTCCAGGGGCCCTTTATCCACAGCGGCCAGGTTCTCCTGCAGCTGCTCCGGGCTGGACACGCCAAGGATGACCACATCCTCATGGGCACCCTGCAAGGGGAGAAGCTGCACTCTACATGCCCCACCCTCCACAACCTGGCTAAGACTAGGGATCTGTGTCACTGCCTGAAGCCTGGCATTATTCCACCAGGAGGCTCTAGCACCCCCAAATGGTGCTGGCATTTGCCTCAGAGCTGTGCCTCCCCCTCTCAGAGGCCTCAGCAGCGGGGGAAGCGCGGTTGGTCACCAGTTTTTCAGCTCCCACTGCCTTTCCCTGCAGGGTGGTGGTGGGAACTACAGATGTGAAGGACTTGGCTCCAGGCCTGGCATTTCACAGAAACTCGCTATAGGAAGCCATTGCCCTGGAAGGTTTGTGCCAGAGAAGGGGACCAGGGAAACGGAAGGCGGGGCAAAGAGCAAAGCGCCAGCTGCGCACACAGGGTTGGGCTCTGTCTCCGGGTTAAAAGCAATGTAGATTTCAGAGCAAATCCACACCCGCTTCCCGACACAGGCAACTGTGGGACCTTAGACAAGCAAAGTCGGCTCTCAGGGCCATCTTCCCCGTGTACAATGGGATGATCATCTGAAACAGCTATAAACATTTGTAACCGGCACTTTAACTTCTGGTAGAAGGGGGTTGCAACTCAGAGACATTTCAGAGGAAGACATGATGTAACCTCAGAAATAAATAACTGCGTGGCCCTCACTTCTCTTCCATTCTAATCATCCCCACCACAATTTAAAGGAAACATAGAGACTCAGGGTCAGCCAGGTTACCTCCGTTCTCAAGGACTTAGTCTAAGGAACCACTTTAGAGGGAAGAGGCCAGGAAATGCACGAGGTGCTAAAGGAACCTGGGTATCATGAAGTCCACTAGGACTACAAGCTCTCTTTAGAATCCCAGCCAGAACCTCCAGGGAAAATCAGAGCAGCCCAAGAGTTGTGGAAAAGAGAAGTTTATGTCAGTGTGAGGAGCAGAAAAACCCCCATGTGGGGGCCATGCCTGCTAGTTTGAGGATCACAGCACCAGGTCCAGGGAATGGGGCATGGAGCACCAGGCCACATCCAGATGCCAGAAGGCTCCACATGCACCCATGGATTTGGCTTCAGAGGGCTGTGGGAGCCTCTGGGTGCTCCAAAGATCTGCGCTCCATGCTCCGCCTTCTCGTTCTAAAAGATGATCTCAATGCAGCAGGGACAAAGAGTAAGTTTGGAAACCGGAACAGCAGTCAGACACCTGCTAGAGAAATTGGGGAAAGAGACAGAAGCGGCTCAGTATTTGCCTCCAGGAAGGAAAGGGAGGGTGAGCAAGAGACTTCTCCCGAGAAAAGGGGCCATCGCGGGGCTAGCCACGGGCGTCCCCACTTTCCTGCCTTCCCTGTTCAGAACCCTAGTTGGCCAGATGTGTAGGCGAGAGGAGTGTCCTCTTCACACTCGCCACACTTGCAGCCCACTTGGGCTTAAAGTGGTTTCCTAGAGTCCAGTTGGGGAAACGTTGAGACCTGGGAGAGAGCAGGCTTGGGGAACTATGCGTTTGAAACTTTTCCTTACCACTTAGCTTCAGACCTGAGATCTGTGGGCACTGGCCCAGCCAGCCCTGGCCTCGGGAATGGAATCAAAGAAGTGGTGAAAAGGGAGGAAAAAATCAGAAATAAGGTTAAAGGTAGCTGACTGTGATAAAAACAGCATGGTACTGGCAGAAAAAAAAAAAAAGACATGAAGACCAGTGGAACAGATTAGAAGATGCGGAAACAACTCCAGACTTACTCAGCCACCTTATCTTTGACAAAGGTGCCAAACACACACACTGGAAGAAAGACAGCCTCTTTAATAAATGGTGCTGAAAAAACTGACTTTGCACATGCCGAAGATTAAAATTGGACCCATATCTTTCACCATGCATTAAAGTAAAGTCAAAATGGCCGGGCATGGTGGCGCACACCTGTAATCCCAGCACTCGGGAGGCTGAGGCAGGAGGATCGTTGCGAGTTCAAGACCAGTCTGGGCTACAAAGTGAGCTCAAGCCCAGCTTGAGCTGCATAGTGAGACCCTGTCTCAAAAAGACCAAATAATAAAGTAAAAATGGATCAGAGATCTAAATATTAAAATAGAAACATTAAATCTGCTGGGAGAATAGGTAAAACTTGAAGACATTGGTGTAGGCAGACTTATGAACAAAACCCTGATCACACAGGAACCATCACAAAGAACAACTGGGATCTCATCTTATTAAAAAGTTTTTTGCACATCAAGAGAAACTACCAACAGAGTAAAAAGACAACTCGCAGTGTTGGAAAAACTATTTGCCAGCTGTTCCTCAGACAAAGGATTACTATTGAGAACATATAAAGAACTAAAAAAAAAAAATCAGACCCCCAAATTTAAAGACCCAAAAATGGGTATCTGAGATGAATATGCACTTCTCAGATGAAGTACAAACAGCAAATAAATACATGAGAAATGTTCAGCATCACTGGTCATTCGAGAGATGCAAATTAAAACTGCCTGGCACAGGGAGTCAGATGAATCAGCCACTCAGGGGCCGTTATGATCCCAGAGCCTCCCCCTCAGTGAAGCAGGAGGCTCTGCCAAGCCCACAGACACCAGCAGCTACTAGGAGCAAGGTCCACGGACCAGAGCAATGCTGGCATGAGCAAAGGAGATCTGCTACAGACTCCGAAGTCACATCTGGGGCTGTTTCAAAATCACGTCTGGGCCTGTGTCAGGAAAACCAGAGTGGTAAGGACAGGATTCCTGCAGATCAGGCCGGTGAGGAGCACATCAGTGGAAGGATGAGAAGGCCCCCTAAAGCTAGATTCCCACGTCGTCACTGTGCCAGAGAGCGGACAGCCAGGTGGTTCCAGCTAGACCAGGCTTGAGCATCACTGTGGGGAGAGAGGGAGGGAAAGAGGAGGAAAGGTGTCAGGACAAAAAGTTGTTCAGGTGTTTGTGGACAGACGTGCCTGAGGAGCTTGGGGTTCACAGAGCAGAGAGCCAAGGGCAGCCGTTACCTCGGCAGCCTGCGCCGCCCAGCCCCAGCCCGAGGCCGCCCAGGATGCTCTCGGACTGGCCGTCGCTGTAGATGAAGGCCGTGTCTATATCGGTGTGGCCGCGCTCCAGGAAAGCGAGAACCGACGCGGCGCTGGTGGACGCGTCCATGCGGCGCCCCATCTGCCTGGCGCCCAGCACTGTGGCGGGCCGGCAGCGGAGAAGACATGACCGCAGCGGCGGTGGCGGGAGACCGGCGGCACAGAGGTGACCCACCGGGAGCGCTCCGCAGCGCTGCGGGGGCAGCGCCCACTCCTTTAAGATGGTCTGGCCCCGCCCATTAGAGGCGGGGAAATCGTGGTGTGGGCGGGGCAATCGTAGAGAGGCGGAGCCAGAAGGGAAGTGGACCCTGAGCCCGGAGCCGAGCGGAGAGGCGGCGCAGGGCGGGTTTGCGGGACAGGCGCATAGGTGGAGCTGGTGCCAGGCCCCTGGCTGCCAACGTGTGACCCGCTTCTGGCCCGAGGTCCACACGAGTGAGCTCTGTCCAAAGGCTGTGAACGCACATGAAGGCTGAGGGCTGGCACTCCTTGGGGCTCCCTGCCTTGCCGACCCACCCCCTCAGCCTTGGCCCGGAGCTGTCCCGAGGTCTCTGTCCCCAGCTCGGGGAGATCAGGATGTGGGTGACCCTCGGGTTGCCCGGCCACCGTGCAGTCCCAGAGGTGAGGCTCGTGGAGGGCTCGAGACAGTGCCTTTGTGGAGAGGAAAGGAATGACCCTTCAGCCTTGAACTCTACAGACAAAAACCCCTTCAAACCTGAAGGCAAAACAGAGTCGCCCAGGAAAACAAAGCTCGACAGAATTCATAGGCTTCCACTACAGAAAATACTTGAAAATATTATTTAGGCAAAAGGAAATTTGGATTTACCCACATAAAAGATGAAGAGGGTAGAGCCGGGCGTGGTGGCATAAGCCTGTAATCCCAGCACTGGGGAGGCTGAGGCAGGAAGGTCGTTGCGAGTTCGAGGCCAGCCTAGGCTACAAAGTGAGCTCAAGACCAGTCTGAACAGCATAGGGAGACCCTGTCTCAAAAAAAAAAACAAACACAAAAAATGATATAGTATATAAAGGTGAATATAGTATATAAAGTTTTTTCTCTTTTTTAACCCTTAAAAAATTGAGGATTGGGCTGGGTGTGGTGGCATACACCTGTAATCCCAGCAGGGGATCACCACGAGTTCAAAGCCAGCCTGGGCTACATAGTGAGTTCAAGGCCTTCTGCAGCATATAGTGAGACCCTATCTGTCTCAAAAAAAAAAAAAAAAAAAAAGGTTGATCAATAAAACATATTATACTAATTGGCTGAAAATTAGAAACCCATGTAAGCATTTTAATAAATGCAGAAAAAGAATTTAGCAAAATTCAATACCTGTTCATAAAGAAATAACAAAGCTTCTCAACAAACTGAGTAGAAATCACTTCCCTCAAATGGGAAAAAAAGGCAAATATAAAATACCTGCAACTAACACAATTAATGGTGAAAATCAGAATGCTGTCCTCCTGAAATAAGGAAACTGGCAATTTTGTGTGCTCTCACTGTTTGTATTCAATACTGTACTGAAGATCCTGGGTATTGCAACATATTTAAATGACAGACAGTTTCATGTACAACTACAATTCCCTGTATCACCTAATGCCAGTTTGATATATTTAAAATACCCCTGATTTTTTCTGTGCTGGGGCTAGAACCCAAGGCTTTCCCGCTGAGCTATGTACCCAGTATTTTCTTTAAAATTTTGAGACAGGGTCTTGCTAAATCACTAAGTTGCCCAGGCCGGGAAACTTGTGATCCTCCTACCTCAGCTTTCCAGAATGCTGGAATCACAAGTGTGCCACCACACCCAGTTTCCTTGATTATTTTCTTTTTTAAAGTGTTTCAGTTGGTGCAAATTGCATTCAAACATGATTAACACGTTGCATTTGGTTATTCTATTTCTTTGGTTTATTTTAAGCCATAGTGCTTCTACCTATGTCTCTACCCTTTCATGCATGTGCTCCTGGAAAACCCCATTAGGTGGCTGTAGAATGTCCCGTGTCTCATTTGCTTACTCATTCATGCTTTCATTCCAGCACTTCCTCTGTTTCATCATAACTACTGTCAGACGGCAGTTAGTGCTAATGGCTAGATGGCATTCTGTGTCAGCTCGGATTTCTGTTGTGTTACCTCTTCCTTGCTGCTGCAAACCTGCTGATGTGTCACATCTGCACAGCACCAACAGCAGGGCCGCCCCACCCCTACTGCTGCTTAGATGACTGGGCTCCGGTGGGGTCGGCCTCTCTCTCCACTGTGAACTCCCCATCAGTTTCTCTTCGTATGGTTCTGTTTGCTGATGATATTTGCCTGCATCGATTGACGTAGAGTTTTAAAGTCTGGTATTATGTTAAATATAAATTTTAAATTAAGATTCTAAGACTGGTATGTACAGCTGGGCATGGTAGTGCACACCTGTAATCCCAGCACTCAAGAGGCTGAGGCAAGAGGATCGTCATGAGTTTGAGGGGAACCTGGGCTAGCTAGTGATTTCAAGGCCAGCCTGTACTACAAAGCAAGACCCTGTCTCAAAAAACCAAAACAAAAAAGCTGTACAACCCCTCCCATTCATTCATTCATTCATTCAGAGTTGCTAGATATGGAAGCAAGGACCTTGCACATGCTAGTCAAGCTCTCAACCCCTGAGCTAAACTCTTAGCTCCTTTCTGAGTACTTTCAAGTGAGAAGTAAAGCACAGTTGGGGTTTTTTTCTTTTTAGATTTTTGAAAGTTTTTATGTATATTTTGGCCTTGAAAATGATCCATTTCATTTATTGGCTTACTTATTTGCTGCTTTTTGGCAGTGCTGGAGAATAAACAAAGGGCCTTGTGCATGCTCGGCAATCTAAGCCACATTGTAGGCCTTAAGCGATTATTTTTTAAGTTAGAGTTTTCTGTAAGAATAACACCATGGGAGGGCTGGGGA